TATCCATCTTGTATCCACCACCTTTAGCAACAAAAGTACAATTTGGACTTTGTGTCTTATCTCTTCTACCTGTCTGCTAATATTCATCTCATTTCCTATTTGTCTGACCAAACTCTTGTTTCTTTTTTGTCTCCACCAATAGAGTCGGGCTGAAACAGAGGTGCACGCTGAGCTTGGCAGTTGCCCACTGAAAATTTACATGTGCCATCACCCCGACACGATTGGGATTATCATATAAGGACAGCCCGTGGTCAGAGGTGTGCCAAACCTGTCGAAAGCATGCTGCCTCCTGTTTGAACTTACCTATGCTCTCGACCTCAAGTATCCCTCAAAACTGGTGTATACTTGAGATATATCAGAGGCTTTTTGTAGGATTGGACCCTGTGCGTCCTAAACCATCATCATGTCATTTTTGACATTGCAGTTCCAGTGTGATACAATGTGATGTTATGGCTCACATTTACCTTGATCCAAACATTTCAGATTGGGCAGTTTGGATATTTCACTGTACTGTTCAGAACAGGTTGAAAATACACTTCTACAGTGTTTGTTTTATATTAGAGTGTACATGTGCGGCCACATTTATTTGCTGTTTTGTAGTCACTGTTAAAAGTGACACTGGTTGACATTGAATAAATTATATATTGTTTTCAATCTATCTTCTCATCTTTTTCTTCTTCAATTGAATTTGTAATTGTTATTGACAATTAAAAAAAAAATATTAAAATGTTTATTCACATATGATTAAGTTAATTTTACTAAGAAAACAAAGTTCATAAAACCTAATTAAAATGAGTACAGGTTACTTGTAGCAACTCATAAATAAGTTACCTGTACCAATAAAAGTAGGTTTATCTAACTGAGTAATACTAGTACTATTAGTTAACTCAACTTGATTTTGTTGCGTTTGTATAAAGTAATGTTAAAGTGTTCAATATACTTAAAAAAGGCTGCAAGTTGAATCAACATAAAACATCCAATGCAGCCACTTGCCTCACTTTTTATAAGTTAGATCTAGGTATTACTTTTTACAGTGCACTTCACCCGGAAAATGACCATCTCTTAGTCTTAATTTACCCATCCTGACATTGTTTTAAAGGGATAGCTCACTTTGAAATTAACTGTTGGTATGTTTTAGCTTACCTCAAGGGCATCCAAGATGTAGGTGTCTTTGTTTCCCCAGTAGTTTCAATTTTGATATTTTTAGGTCAAACCGTTCTTGTCTGTCAGTCACATAATGCAGGTCTATGGTCCATACCTGTCAACACTCCCGTTTTTCCCGGGTTTCTCCCGTTTTTTAGCCCTATCTCCCGGACCCCTCCCGGTTTGTTATTTCTCCCGGGAATCTCCCGTAATTTGCATGGCCCAAACTCCTTTATGATTAATCGGACCAATATGTTTGTCTAATGTTGACCAGTTGCCAGATTGTATTAAATGCATTATATTCACACAATCCACAGACCATTTACAATTTCAACCCGTTTGTCACCTCATCCTGGGAACCTATAACCCAGTTGCGCAGTCGCGGAAAGTTTAACCCGAAAGCGAGCCGATAGACATGATGGCAGTTGAAGGTGGTGTCCCCGCAATGAAACTGAAGTAGCACAGTTTGTAACGCGTTGCTTCAGGAAGATTAGGGATAGCTCACAACTGAAGTTATTGCATGAAGAGGCCAGACAGACACACGGAGGCGATTGGCATCTCACACTCGCACTTTATTCCCAAATCGAACTCGTGTAGCCTAACTGTCTGTCACACGTTCTACCGTCCACATCGTTACTTAATAAACAAAATAAGATCAAAATTAGCATAAAACAAAAATTACCCGCATACATGGGGTGTTCGCATAGACAATAAAAGGGGTGTTCGAGGCCCAGGCACATACAATACAATACAACAATACAATACTGCCGACAGTTCAACAGGGAGCGCACAGCTCTTAAAGGGGCCACACCTTATTTCCAGTCGTTACCAACCCCCCCCCCCCCCCCCCCCCCCCCCCCCAGACCCCCCCCCCCCCCAAGAGCATGCACAGAGAAGTCCAAATTAAACATGATTTAATGACTCGTAAATGTAAGTACACATTGATGGCCTAAGACACGAAACGAGCGGTTTGTGTGAGAAAACAAACAGTATTTATATTATTGTTACCTCTTGTAACCACAGCCACGTCCAACTGATCTAAGGGCGCGGGCGCTTCGGTCTTTTCCGGAAAGCCCCGGAAGTGATCTCTCACGCGTGTACGTCACTCATACAATTGTTTTCTTTTTTTTTCTTTTTTTATTGTTTTCTTTTACGACGGTTTAAACATCCCGGATAAGCGCAAATTAGTTCCATTTTAATCAGTCGTCTTACCTACAATCTCTGTTCTGTGTAAACAATGAGTGACGTACACGCGCGAGAGATCACTTCCGGCGCTTTCCGGAAAAGACCGAACCGCCGGCGACCTCAGATCACTTGGACGTGGCTGTGTTTACAAGAGGTAAAAACGATATAAATACGGTTCGTTTTCTCACACAAACCGCTCGTTTCGTGTCTTAGGCCATCAATGTGTACTTACATTTACGAGTCATTAAATCATGTTTAATTTGGACTTCTCTGTGCATGCTCTTTGAGGTGGTGACCATAGATCTGCATTATATGACTGACAGACAAGAACGGTTTGACCTAAAAATATCAAAATTGAAACTACTGAGGAAACAAAGACACCTACATCTTGGATGCCCTTGAGGTAAGCTAAAACATATAACAAATTAATTTCAAAGTGAACTATCCCTTTAAACCACATGACTTTCTCTCTTCATTGGAACCCAAAATTGCATTTTTGAAGAATATCTTGAAATGTTTTTGAATGTTGACTGAATGGGGACTAGGGCTGTCAAGCTCCAAAAAAAAAAAGCATCATAAAAGTACATACATAACTTAAACTTATGGCACCATATATGACACCTTACTATACGATAACTGTGTGGGAGGAACAGAACCAAATTTGAGTCTTTATTCACTTTTAAAAAAAAGTTGGATTTTGATGCCACTCACATTAGCAAACAGAAGCATTTTATGTGCTCTTCAGTGAATAATGTATATATAATATATTATATATAATAAATGTAAGTTCTTCACACACAAAATTATTATGTGGTTTAAGATGGCGTGCAAGTAATATGGACCACTTTTAAGATGCTTTTATAATACACTAAAACATGTTGGAGCTTCACAGTCCACTCCCCATTCACTTAAAGCGTTAGTTCACTCAAAAATAAAAATTCTGTCATTATTACTCGCCCTCATGTCGTTTTTAAACCCGTAAGACTTTCGTTCATCTTCGGAACACGAATGAAGATGTTTTTGAGGAAATCTGAGAGCTTTCTGTCCCTCCATTGACAGCTACACAACTACCACTTTGATGCTTCAAAAGTTCATAAAGAGATCGTAAAACTAATTCATATGAATTGAGAGATTTAGTCCAAATTTTCTGAAGAGACTTTCTCGCTTTATTTGATGAACAGATTTAATTTAGGCTTTTATTCACATATAAACATTCATCACCTCACACATCAGTTGTGGAAGTTCAAGCATGTTCAATTGACGTCCGAGAACCAATGAGGTTCATTCTCGTGTTACGCATCACGTTTGAGCTTCAGGAAGAACCAATGAGGTTTGTTCTTGTGTGTTATGCAGGTTCAGTTGAGCTCCTGTTCTCTGATCAATGTTTAAATGTGAATAAAAGCCTAAATTAAATCTGTTCATCATATAAAGTGATCAAGTCTCTTCAGAAAATTAACTAAAGCACTCGATTCATTTGGATTAGTTTTACGATCTCTTTATGAACTATTTGAAGCATCACAGTGGTAGTTGTGTAGCTGTCAATGGAGGGACAGAAAGCTCTCAGATTTCCTAAAAAACATCTTCATTTGTGTTCCGAAGATGAACGAAAGTCTTACGGGTTCGGAACGAAATGAGGGTGAGTAATTACTGACAATTTTTGGTGAACTATCCTTTTAAGTATCGAAAACCGCAGCCAACATTCTATAAAAGCAATGCACCTTTTATGTTCCACTGAAAAAAATGAGTCATGGAGGTTTGGAACAATTTTTTTTGAGGGTGTGTTTTATTGGAGCCGAGACAACATGGCAAAGAAATTGTCAAACATGGTGACAGAAAAAGAGAGAACACCAGAGGCTATCTTTCTTTGCAGTCTTACTTTCCCCCCCAAATAAAGCAAATCCATGTAGCCAAAACCTAAAAAGCATTGCCTAGCAACAATGGGTCGCAAAAGCATTCACATTCTACAGCCATGCTCTCTGTTAGCAACACAAAACACCAGATTCTGTTCTTTTAGATCTGATTCCTACCGATAGTGCTGTTCGTTTTTCATACACTTTAAAGAACCGGTTTATACGAATCAATAATTCAGGAATCTGACGACAGTGATCTCGCTGAATGTTTACAAATCACCCAAAAGAACCGACTCATAAGAGTCATTCGTTCGAGAATCGGGTTACACGATCGCGCTATTTGCTTTTGATTCACTATAAAGAATCGGCTCAAAAGAATTATTCGCCTGGGAACCGAGACTGATCGCGCTGTAGCTTCAGTGAAAAACAGTGCAGGACAAATGTAACGCCAGGAAAATAATTCGGATTTGGCATTTAAAAACGAAATCGGTTCTGAATAAAAAAGGGTTTGAAGCCTTTCTGGAGAAAAATATACATCAATATCTACAATACACACTACAGTAATTAAATTGCGTGCTATTTTCCTGAACCTTGGTTTTAAATTGCACTAAAATGGATTTGACTATGGCGGACTTTGAAAACTTAAACCGTTCAGTTATTTGTTATGAAAAGCCATGTGCAAATGCGAGTAAATTCCTGCTTTAGCATACAAGTTGCAAATAACTTTGACTCTGAACTTCAAAACAGATCCGCAGATATATACAATATAGATAACGGTCGTTTCCAGGCAAATTCATGCAGATTGACAGCTGTAAAACTCACTTTTATGTTTTCCAGAGGTCCAGGACTCTTTCGCCAGACTGGGACTGCGAATGATCGCGCGTCCGGCTGATTTTAGCGCGTCCATGATGATGATGAATACCAGTTTATGTGACAATTAATAATCCTGAGAGCGCGATCCTCCGACTGTCCTCTGCCTGGTCGAGCCCGATCCTCTGCCCGCAGGAAAACTTTTCTGACAGCCTGTGATTTTCTTCCTTTTCCGCGGATGATCCCGGGTGGATGTGCGAACATGGCATGCTCGCCACGGTGGGCGGGGTTTAGTATGTAAATTAAGCGGATAATGTTCTGTCATGACGCTGCCGTGAGTGGGCGGAAGGCGGGGCTCGAGTATGCAAATTAGGACTCGCGCGGTGTGTGTGTGTGCTGTGTGTACATACATAGAGTGCCGTTTGACGTGCATGATTGAAACGATGGTTTCTATTAAAGGGATAATACCACAAATTATCCATGTTCTTCTAAATATTTTCTTTTGTGTTCAGCAGAAGAAGGAAATTCATACAGGTTTGGAACAACTTGAGGGTGAGAAAATGATGACAGAATTTAAATTGTTGGGTGAACTATCCCTATAAAAATGATAAACTTTTCAGTTACTTCGAGGTAAAAAAAAAAAAAAAAAAAACTTGGAGGTTGTGATTACAAGGACACACATTGGCCACAAAGTATTTGGATAGAATAGTGAAGAATACAAATACTTAGGAAGCATATTGCAGAGTTATAAGGCAAAATGTTTTTACTTATATTGCTTTGTATTAGCTATTATTAATGTAAAAACTCTATTATTAATAGCTATTATTTGCATAACAAATAAGTAGAAGAATTTAAGTAAAACATTAGTTGCCAATTCTATTAGATTCAGTCTTTTAAAGTATGTTACACAAATGTTTACCATAATAAAATGTTTTAATTGCATTGTTCTTTTAAAAAAAGTACTTTAATGTCATCACATTAGTCACTTAATTTCACAGAAATAATTAAATAAATAAAAAACATTCTTTCCATTTTCACCTCCATGAGGCATGACGTTCATTTCATGTAATGTCAAAAAAGTAGCTGCCTTAAAATTTTAAGTACAACCAACTTGGATTTTTAAGTCATTTAAACTTAAATTAAATTAAATTAGCCTGACTTAAAAATAAGTTGAATCTTGTATAACTAAAAATTGCTGTTAATTGCAAAGTTAAAGCAATGTAAAAACATATGTTGTCATAACTTATTGATCATATCAATTTTTATAGTGAAAAGAGCAATAATGACGAGGATGAGTGTGAAATGACGTTTGAAATGAGTGTAGTTGTCTTTCTCTCCACTCAGCCCTGTCTAAACTCATCCGCATGAGTGCTTCTACACTGACAGCCCATCACCACATGGGAAAGAGATGCAAAAAATGGAAATAAAGAAACTGAAAGGGGAAAAACAGGCATTCAAGGGGGTTCCTCTGAGAAAGAGGTGATTTTGCTTGTCATTTGGGCTTTTGTCAGTTCAGGGTAGCATCTTACAACCGGAATGTGCTATAGCAAACACAGACCGGGGCATCAGGTTCTTCCCCGTGACCCACTAAAACCTGTTCAGTTTCATGTGAAGACAAACACACATTAAATACCATTGACCAGGGTCTCCCAGCAGAACAACAGGTGAGTCACTCCATTCAGCTGATTAACAAGAGAAAGCCAGATCTTCAGCATTCCTGAGCAAGTATGACAGATTCGTTCAGAGTATTGCAGAAAAAAACATGTGCACCTGTTAAGGCAAGCATGCAGATGAGGTTCTTCAGGGAGGCTGAATGTGAAACAGTGCATCCCATGGGAATAATTCACTCTCCCAGTTCATCCTACAGTACTGGAACTGGAAGCTCTAGGAACGTGGGTGACATACTAAACGGCTTCTGTACATTATTAATGCCTCCATATGCTGATTAAAGCAACAGTCTGCAGCTCATCTCAGAATATAACAGCTTAAATAGGTCAATAGATAGATGTATACATAAAGGTCTGGAGCGGCAGTCTTTAGAACATCTTTAAATAAACTTGCAAAAAAAAAAAAAAAATGATATGTGAAAACTATTACAAGAGCCCATGAATGTGAAATTGTGCACTGATGCACTGTAGAAAGCGTGTGAATGTGAGAGAGGAACATAAAAACTGCGCCTGTCTGCATGCATGGTTATAAAAAGAGACGTGTTTAATATGAAAGCTCTGGTTATTTATTCATGCATGTAATATCCTCTCATGAATGAGAGATGAAGGCTCCACACGTACAGCGATCGGAGAATCATTCGGCACGAGATGTTGCAACAGTTCACAAACTAGCAAATGCTAACTGCAAAAATTTATAAAAAAGTTGTTCAAAATGTTTTGAGATTCAAACTATTTGTAGTGTAATATGTGCAAATGTGTGCTTTATTAATTCCCCCATTATATCTTGTATAATCACTTTTTAGGGTAAACCTAAAAATCTCTTAAAATATAAACTCTTAAGCTATAAACATGTTTTGTTTTGACGTTAAAAGTGATTTGAGAGTAAATGCAAGATGAAATGACCCTTTAGACCACCCGATGCCACTTTAACACCTATATTACTGACATTAAAACACATTTGGAAATGCAATAAGAACTATGCAACTGTAATATACATATATCAACTCTTATAAATTACGTTTTAAATTCATGTAGATGAAATCATGGCATTCAGAACAAAACAATTTTTTCTCATTTTTACAACATTAACCCTTTCCTCAGCTTCAGTTAACCCCAATTATATGGTTAATTGAATTGTATCATTTTAATTCGTTTTTCATTGCTATCCGAACACCTTATATATGGCACATATTATATATCCACATATAATTTTGTGCACGCAAGCAATAACAAGCAACAACAATCAACGGACAAATCACAAGAGAAACTCGGATGCCAGAAAAAAAATGTTTTATTACTTGAAACCTCACAGAGACCTCACAACGAGTGCAGCCGAGGTCTGGCTGAACAACAGACAGAAAGCGAGAAGTGACAGCGGGCAAAGAAAACAAAGCAAATGTCTTTTCCCCCCTCTTTCATTTAAACCACTTGGACATCGCAAACGTTACCACTTCCTCCATTAAATCATTATTTTTAAAATCACAGACACCTAAAACAACAACCATCTCAGAGCACTACAATACCACATAGGACTGACTCTGGCTAAACCCCCGCCCCCTCCCACCCACCCATCGTTAACCAAACTAACACAGTAACCATCTCTCCTTCTCAAACGACCCGCACCAGAACTCGCTGGAGACCGTTTGGAGGAACTGGCTTCCTCCAGTTGGCAAAATCTATTCGCATTAACACAAATCCGAGGGTTTTTTTTTCCAAAAGGTGGGTCGGCTCGGGACATTCTCCCTTTAGCCCCATAATACTTCATGCTTAGCAGACATAGATGACATCTGGATCTGGATCCATTTACACAGCAAGTGTGAAGATGGCCCACTGAAAACCTTTCCACGAGTGAAACAGGTTTAAAGTCACCAACCTTTCTGAAAGCAACAGCGCCATCAAGTGGCACAACCAAGTATTTCTCTGAAAACAATACACAAACTATATAATAATAATAATAATAATAATAATACACTCCTCTAGCTTCCGATCATTGGACCAGCCAGTAACCTGATGGATCTGAAACACTTTTCTTTTTCAACAAAATTGCAGTCCTACTACTTTAGTTGGCACTGGACTACACTAGCTTCCGTCCGATACTGAAAGATGGTCAATCAATACAATAAAGAAAACCAGGAGGGGAAAGTATCCTGCGTTTCCATACTTGACATATTCCCTTGCGAGCTCGTTGAAGTCAACAGTGCATCAGTGCCACGCTGGATAAATAAATAAATGTAAACAAATGACCGAATTCACAAGCACGGACCAAAACAGGAGCAGCGACGTCACGCCAATGGGCTGGTGATCCGTTTGCAAAAGGTTGCCTGTTGACGTGGTGACCAAAAAAAAAGATGTGTTTGAGGCATATGACGTGGTAGAGGGAGGGAAGAGATCTTTCTGTTCCACCAATGAGGTCCCATAAGAAGGCACTGATTATCTGTAATTGGTGAATTACGCTGCTGGACTGTGTTTGTGGCGCACAGTTCGTCACTTTGTACCATGAGGAAGAACTGAACAGCAATCCACAGATTAAGCTTCGGTTCGTCATACGAGTCCTAACAGATGTTTTGCATGAGAATTGTCGCATTGTTTCTGGGACGTTCGTTGGAGACGTTTTGTTGTTTGAACATTGCGTTACATTCTTGTCATATTAGATGGTGACATTCTTGAGTAAAAATCTTCTTGCCTCTGATATGGGGTAGAGCACCTGGGACAACGGATCTTACACTTGCCCTGCTTTGTACAACCCCCTCCCTCCCCCCCCCCCCCAAAAAACAAAAACAGTAAAATCAAGGCCGAAATCCAGGAGGCCGGTCTCTGAATGGACTGAGGGAAGATACTCACCAACTTCTGTGAGGTTTCTAGACATTTACAAGAGAAAAGAAACGGCAGTTGCCTGCTCAATGTGTGATGTCCCTTAAAAGTCTTCTTTTTTGTCTTTTGTATTTTTACTACAACAAATACGGTCACACAATACAATATCCTTCTGACCAGGCAAGAAGCTGTAGTATTAGAAGACGAAAAAACAAAAACAAAAAAGCAATTTGAGCCACAGACATGCCAAAGATGAATCTGAATCTGGGCTTATGGAGGGGAAAAAAACAACCAGAGAAGACCATGTGTGTGTGTGTGTGTGTGTGTGTGTGTGTCTGTGATTGCAAGAATGATTGGAGGTCTGTTGTGGTGGGAAACAAGCATTCATTTTTTCATGGGCTGGTAAACAGATGCGTTGGGGTCCAGTCCTGATGGGCTGGTGTCCATGAACTTGGAGGAGTAGTGGGGCGTGACGGGGGTCATGCTGCCCGTATCTGCTGAATACACCACACTGGGCATGACGGCCATCACCTCGGCTATCTTCTGCTTCAGGTCTTTAATCTCCTGGTCTTTCTGCAGAATCTGACCTAAAAGAACACAAATCCAGACGGGAACAGCTTTTAGTGGTTTTCCATGATTGGGAATGATGTATTCTATAAAGACATAACACCAGCATTCAAAACTTTTGTGATGGTAAGATTTTTTGTTTCGTGTTTTGAAATGCGTCTCATATGCTCACCAAGGCTGCATTTATTTGACCAAAATACAGTAAAAACATGTTTTCTATTAAAAAAATTTTTTTTTA